TATATATATATATATATATATATATATATATTTAGATTTAGAAATTAAAAACTATCCACATCAATTTATAAATATTAAAAAAATTTTGTTTTTTGCAGAACTCTTTTTTTTTTTGTTTTGCTGAGCGCACATGTTGCTCTATTTGCGGACTGCCAAGAGGTAATAAAAAAAACTATAAACAAACCAGACTCACGTGGTGTCTAGGTTTAAAAAGTTACAAGAACTGTTGCGTTTTATGGGAACGTAATCCATAATTTTAAAAATATATATAAGATTTTAAATAAATACGTTTTTTTAGGTGAAATGAAAATCATAGTTTATTAAATGATTTGTTTTGATCGTTTATTAGCAATTTTCCATAATTATTCCATAATTTTTAGCAATTTTCCATAATAAGCTCTTTTTTGGTCGGAATTTTCCATAATAATTCGCAATTTTCCATAATTAGCTCTCTCTCTTGGTCGGAATTCTAGTATTTTTTGTGAAAAATGATAGAATTATTGTATTTTGACAACTATATAAAGTTAATATACGTCAGAAATTATTAGAACTAGGATCTATAGTGGGTTAAGGCACTTTTTTAAAAGATTTTAACTATGTTCAAGTTAATGCCGATGAGTGAAATTGATCTAAAGACTCCGAAATGGTGTTCTTTAGATTCACCATTAGGGGTAATAAAAAAGTTTTGAAAATTTTAAATAAAAAAGAAAAGTTTCTTTAAAGATTAAAAAAACCTAAAGCGAAAAAAAGTATAACATCTAAAGCTCTTGTTTGGACATGATACGTTGATAAAATCAAATCAAAGAATTTGAATAATTTGTAAATCGCAGAGTTGGTAATGTTTAAAGCATGGTTGACTTTCTGGTCTGTTTATTTACTAGACAGGTCTGAAAACTCTAACCGTAATAAAAGCTCCGCTCAAATAAAATGATTACCAAAATTTATTAGGACATCAGTCAATTTATATTCTGGTAAAATATATAAACTCATCATACTTTTATTTTGTTCAAGTTATAGGAGTGAAACTAATAAAAAATTGTTTGTATCCATCCTATCCTGCGTACCACCGAGAGTTCATAGACGCAGAAAGTTTTTGGACGCATAAGGACCTATGGGACTGAGCGTGGAATCTATAATTTGAATAATATAAATTATAGTAATTAGATAAAAATCATGGATGTTTCTAATGATGTTGACTGGTCTTTGACAAAAGAGTATTTAAATGTTTTAATGAATTTGCTTACATGTTCTTACTGGTTAGTCTTTGTTTTATACATGCATACATGCATACATACATACATACATACATACATACATACATACATACATACATACATACATACATACATACATACATACATACATACATACATACATACATACATACATACATACATACATACATACAGACACACACACACACACACACAAACAAACATACATACATACATACATACATACATACATACATACATACATACATACATACATACATACATACATTAAGTTTTGTATATATGTACATATATGCATATTCTTAGCTAAAGATTGTCAAGAAAGAAGGTTACATTCAGTAAATAGTTTGTACTGTCCTCTTAAACTTCATGTAAGACTGAAATTGAATTAAAATTTCATCTTTTAATTGAAAATCAATGCTATATGTAGGTACGCGCACTGAAATTTTTAAATTAATCATATAGTGCAATGTTATATATCATTAGAAAGGCCTTTAATACAGTATTTTAAAGGTGAAAAAATTATTAAAAACGAACAATTCTAAAAAAAGTTATAACGTTTTTAGTACCAAATTTAAGATATATGTAATTGTTGAAGAAACTGTGGTCAAAATAATTATTTTTTTCACTTAAATTATTATAACTTTGTCAATTTTTATCCAAATATCTATATCTTGGTATCAAAAGATAGGTGCACTAATGGGCTACAAGTTCATATAGGTGCCTGGACGTGGGGTGTATCTTGGGAGCCAGAGGGGGTAATGAAACGCCATCTAACCCTTAAGAAAATACAAGTTTTTGTCAAAAATAAGCACTTTTTTAATGTAATTGTTAGATTTTATACATAAAATATTGCCATAACTTGATTCAAGAACACTGCCAAACAAAATAAGGTGATCTTAGAGTTGGCCGTAGATGTGGTTATGATGTTATAACACCCTAATACAATAATCATACATTCTAATAAATAATTTAATCTTTATTACAGTAATTAAATATTTTGTTAAAAAGTAAAAATATATTTTTTTACTATACAACATACATTAGTGATTTGCACACTAACTTTAGGGAAGGGCGTATGTCGCATCGCCCCCCCCCCCGCCCCTGCCCCAACGCATAACAAAAAATAAAAATAATTAAATCTTTATTACAATAACTAAATGTTAATAAGTAAAAATAATATTTTATTACTATTCAACATATATTATTGATGTACACATTGACTTCAAATAAAGGAAGTCTAATGCACCACCTCTCCCCCCCCCCTCCCCACCTAACAAAAAATAACGTCATCTTTATTTCAATAATCAAATGTATTGTTAAAAAGAAAAAATAATCTTTTATAACTATACAACATACATTAGTATTGAAAATATTGTTGTATTACATGAAGCAATATTTTTTTTCTATAGAACATACATTAGTGATGTACAATTTGAGGAGAGGGATGGTTTTCCCCCTTCCCCTCAACCAACGTAAAAAAGAAAACACATAGAAATGATATTTTCAACATTTTCGCATGCAATTATTAAAAAAAGAAAGCACAATACAGAATTGTTTTACCAGATTGCACGAGTATACATTTTCTCATTTAAATAATCATATTTAACCAACCAACCTTATAAAAAACAAACAAACAAAAAAACAAATGTTTCGAAACATAGTAATTAATTTATGTCTTGGCTTTTAGTAAATGATTTAAATTAAGTTCCAATGCAACTAAATAAATCATTTTTAAAATAGACACCACGTGAAGGTAAGCCAGAGCCGCCTATCTTTTTTTTTTGCAAGCCACAAAACTTGCTATACCTATTTGCAAGCCACAAAACTTGCGGTACTTATTTGCAAGCCACAAAACTTGCGGTACACATTTGCAAGCCACAAAACTTGCTGTACCTATTTGCAAGCCACAAAACTTGCTGTATCTATTTGCAAGCCACAAAACTTACAGTACTTATTTGCAAGCCATAAAACTTGCGGTACTTATTTGCAAGCCACAAAACTTGCTGTACCTATTTGCAAGCCACAAAACTTGCTGTACCTATTTACAAGCCATAAAACTTGCGGTACACATTTGCAAGCCACAAAACTTGCTGTATCTATTTGCAAGCTACAAAACTTGCTGTACCTATTTGCAAGCCACAAAACTTGACTTAATTATTATACTAACTATTTTAAAATAAAATTACAAAGTTGTAACAAAAAATCAATATAGCAAATAACAAGAAATGTATATACATATTAAATGTAATAGTTTATTAAATTACTAGTTGCAAAAGATGACTAAGGAACTAAAGTTAAACATATTATAAAGTTTGCACATTAAAAACTAATAGTTGTTTAACTTACCAGGTGTAGCACAAGAGGTAGATACTAAAATTACAAAGTTGTAACAAAAAATCAATATAGCAAATAACAAGAAATGTATATACATATTAAATGTAATAGTTTATTAAATTACTAGTTGCAAAAGATGACTAAGGAACTAAAGTTAAACATATTATAAAGTTTGCACATTAAAAACTAATAGTTGTTTAACTTACCAGGTGTAGCACAAGAGGTAGATACTAAAATTACAAAGTTGTAACAAAAAATCAATATAGCAAATAACAAGAAATGTATATACATATTAAATGTAATAGTTTATTAAATTACTAATTGCAAAAGATGACTAAGGAACTAAAGTTAAACATATTATAAAGTTTGCACATTAAAAACTAATAGTTGTTTAACTTACCAGGTGTAGCACAAGAGGTAGATACTAAAATTACAAAGTTGTAACAAAAATCAATATTACAAATAACGAGAAATGCATACACATATTAAATTTATTATTTTTTTAAATTACTAGTTGCAGCAGCTGACTAAGGAACTAAAGTTAAAAATGTTGTAAAGTTTGCAAATTAAAAATTAAGAGTTATGTAACTTACCAGGTGTAGTACAAGAGGTAGATACTAAAATTAAAAAATTAATATTGCAGCAAATGGGAAATCCATACACGACAAGTAATAAATAAATAAATAAGAAATGCATATTTATGTATATTTCTTTAATGGTTAATTGAAGTTATGCTATAATAACTTACCAGCTGTAGTCTGTGCAAATTGGCCTAAAGATAACAAAAAAGTTATATAATCAAAAAAAAAAAAATATCTTGAAATTGTCAACAGTCAATAAAAATAACAGTTATCAAATCAGTTCTGCTTTACGTACAACAACCTATGTAACTAAAAAAAAAGCAATAAAAAAAATAATAAAAAACATAAATTATATTACTGTATTTTAAAATTATATTACTGTATATTAGAAAAACACTAACAAGATACTTTTATAAGAATAAACATATTATTGTAAAAGTATCTTTGTAATTTTACAAAAATAAGCTTATTAATAATAAGCTTATTCATATAAAAATATCAATAATAATAATATTTTAAAATATCAATAATAATATTATTCTTAAAATATCAATAAAATCATAATATTATTCTAAAAAAATAATAATGTTATTCTAAAATTATCATTAATAATATTATTCTAAAAATATTTTGTCAAAAACTGTATTGGCTTAAGCCAATAAAGTTTTACTTTAAAGTATAATAATATCATTTGTATATTTTTATATATATGGTGTATTTACAACATTGGCATCTGATACTATTAGTTAATAAAATATTCCAAAGTAACGGTTTAATCTTAAATCCTAATCTTTTTTAATATATACTATCATTGGTATAACTTATACCAAAGATTAAGGTTTTTAAACTTATACTATAAGTTTAAAAACCTTAATCTTTGTTTACATATCATGATGATATGTAAACAAAGATTAATGTTTTAAAACTTATAACTTTTTTAAATAACAAAACAATAATGATAAGTTTAAAAACCTTAATCTTTGTTTACATCATGATGATGTAAACAAACTTTGTTATTATCATGAAAAAGAAATTAACTTACTTTTTGAAGTCTTCTTTGTTATGACTTTTATCATTTTTTATTTATTAAAATAATCTAATATTAAAAATTAAATAATACAATGTAGTAAGAATTTTTTTGTTTACCATTCGCCACCCCCCTATCCTCCCCGTATTTCTCTTACCGATAAAACAAAAACAAAAACAAAAAAAACCGAATTTAGGTACCAAAAGTCCTACACTTCTTATACTATCTGCTCCCTAATATTTTTGGCTGAAATTTGGCATGTACAAAGAAAATGCATGCAAAAAAGTTCCTGAATAACAAAAAAAGCGGAAACTTCATTCCTTCGATAAGAACTTAATGTGAGAACATCAACGAAATTTTCATGAAAGTTTTTAGCAAAACTAACCATAAAAAAGTTTAGTGGTTATAAATAAAAGTACTATAAAAATCAAGCCTAACCTTTCTTCTTTCCAAATATACTTTTTGTTTATATATGTTTCTAAAAAAAAACACCACTAAAAACGTTAGTCTAACCTTACTTCAAAAAAGCAGTATATTTAAAAAAGCACCTCGTTACATATCTGCTCCCTAATATTTTTCGTTGAAATTTGGCACATAAATAGAAAATACATGTATAAAGGTGGCTGAACAATCAAAAAAGCGGAAACTTCATGCCTTCGACTACAAATTTATGTGAAAACATCAACCAAATATTCAGGAGCAAAATAATCCGTTAAAAAGTTTAGTAACCATACATAAAAGTTTAAAAAAAATAAAGATCAGCTTCTCTTCTTTCCAAAAAGTATCTATGTGTATATATGTTTCTAAAAAGAAACTCCACAAAACTACGTCTACCCCACGCTGCCTAAAAAAAAGTGAAAAAAACGAGTCACAAGATTTTATCACAAAAATCGGTTCAGTAAATGACGTAAATGCGCGTACCTACTATATGGTATATTATTTTGATTGATTTAATGCTGTTTTGCATTAAGTAAATTTGCAGTAGCATCTGTCTTATTTTTTTGATTGTATAGTGCAACAAAAAACAAATAAAAAATGACCTCAGCAAGTTGCTCTGTTATATGACCAACTTGTTGATATATATTTATTTATTTATATATATATATATATATATATATATATATATATATATATATATATATATATATATGTATAAATGTATATATATATATATATATATATATATATATATATATATATATATATATATATATATATATATATATATTCTAGTATTTTTATATCTGCTGAAAAAATTGATGATATTCTTTACAAAAGCATAATACTTTTAAAGTAAAAATTGGATATGTTATGGCACAAAGTAAGAGAGTATTTTAAGATTATATTAATTTTCAAATAACTTTTGAGCTTTTATTGCATTTGGCAATAGATAGAATACGATTAATTTAAAATTTTTATGTTACATATTAGCAATATTGCATTTTCTATGGTAATCCATCAACAATAGAAAAGTTAAACTTCATCATTTTTTCTTCTTCTAACCTTTCGGGATTGTTTAGTAAAATCTAAGATCTCAGGGATTATCTTTTTCTGAATATTTCCAGAGTTCCAGATATTTTTCTCAACCTTAAGTTTTTTCTGAATATCAAAAGTCTTTTCCATACATACAAGTTTTAGTATATTTTTTAAACTTTTTCACTCATTACTCATACAAAAACTAAGAAAAGTTAAAAAAAAGTTGAAAACAACTCAGCTAAAAAAAAAAATTAAGAAAAATATAAAGAAAAATATATTCCGGATTTTTTACGGATATTTTACCCAAATATTATTACTAATAATGAAGTTATTTTTTTTTTAATAAATAACTTCATTATTAGTAATAATATTTCCATGATAAAACGGTTTGTAGTTATTTTTTGATAGCCCTCTGTACTCATTTTGCCTTGAACTCTAATCTGAATATTTTTTTCAACGCTTGCTTTTATTAAGTTGCATTAAAGTACTCAGGAAATTTTGTGGCAGTTAATTATAATTATGGAATCAATTAAATTAAAAATCGTATTTACATTTACTTTGTTTTTTTTTAACGCAATTTTTAAAGGCGCTAATTATCAAAACTTGCAAAAAGCCGTGGTCAAGTTTTTCTTTTCTTTTAAAACAAAGAACTATATGCATGGTCATATAAAGCGTCCAATCGCACGCCTCTTACGAGAAGGCCTGATACATAACATCTGTTCTCAAGCATTCTCAATAATATTTAGGTCTAAACACATAGCTGGCTGTTTCAATCTTTTAATTTTACTGTTGTTGAATTAATCTTTTTACTTTCTTAGCTCTATAAACTTTAGCATTATGTTGCTGAAAACAAAATTTTCACAAGTAAAAATTCATGAACAATTAAAAGATAGTCTTAAGCTTTCATTTTTCCATCAACAAATTAAGTTTCTGATTTACTGGATATTCATAACTTTCATTGATGGATGTCCAGAATTTTTTTTTTCATATGTATAAGAAGTATCAATGTTGTTTCTAATCATAGTTCGACTGTATTTAATTGCTTTAGCCATGTAACTAAAATACTGGTCTCTGTGGGCTTGACCTGGATTCAAATGTTCAAGTATTTTAAAAAACTGTTATGCAAACTACTAGACTCTTTTCTATCCATAACTAAGTAATAAAAACACTTTTTATGTTTAAATTTATCAGCTGTTCTTAAAATGTATCTATAACATGCAAAATATTGGGACGTTAATGTGAAATCTTTTAAAGAGGAAGGCTTCACAGCTATTTCTCTCTTCTTTCTGCGAGAATTTATTAAGAACTTGTTGCAACATGAGAAAATGTTACAAAAAAATTTTTGTTTCTGTTAGGTCATACATGAGAATATTTGTTTACTTAACTCTCTTTTTTTTTCAGTTAACAAGAACAACTGGTTGGAGCAGCCAACAAGAGCAGCCAGCTGCAGCTAATTACTTTGTATAATTGGTGGCTTAGTATTTGCTAATAATGCAAAGTGGCTTCTTTTCTTTGATGATAGTAATTTTAACCTCAAATTATATTATAGATTTGAATTTTTTGTTTGTTTAAGGATTGCTTCTTGAGCTCTTATATTCAGAAATTAATGAAAAAAATAAAATTTCACAGCCTATTATAAAACTTATATTTAAATAGTAATTATGCAAAATAGCAAACTAAATGACTCAATGATTTCAAGCATGAATTTTATGCTTTGATTGGGTGAATGAAATGATGGCTGCATGTTGGCAATAAAATGCAGATTTGGATATAAAAGTAAGAGAGAAGCAGTGCCATTTACATAGATTTTGCATTAAGATATACGCAACTTTTTTATCCATAGTTTAATATGCCACAGTCAGTGTACATAATTCTGATATGCAGCCACAAGCTTGTGTCTACCAAATTGCATGTAGATATAGAAACTCTAAAATTAAAGATTTTATTAACTAAAAGGCATTATTTGCCAGAGATAATTTTTTGAAAAACAATAGCAGAGGTTGCTCTGTTTATTTGATCCTGATCCCTCTCATATATATGAGATCCCTCTTATATGAAATACATCTCATATATATAAGATGCCTCTTGTATGTAGCTTTAAAAAAGAGAGTAAAAAAAGCTATTGGTATTTTTTGTGTATTTTTTGATAATTGATTTTGGTTTATAATTGTAACAGAACCATTTTAACTTTGAAGCCAGGCAGTATTATTGCAGATAAGGTAATAAAATATCAGTATTCAATTCCGAGAATGAACTTATAATGAAATCAATGTTTTTATAATTTTTATTCAAAAATTATGCAAGGTGGCCTTTTTGTTTCTGTTGAATGCTTAATTAGTTACAACCAGCTGTTATGACAGAAATGAATGCTGATCCAAAAAAAAAAATTTTTAACATGACATTTATTTATTTTTTTCTTTTGTTATACTAACTTTTTTGACTGTGCACAGGAAAAAATGAGTGTGAAAAGCGTTTTTGTTTTTTTGTTTTTTATGTAAGAGAAAATGAATATTTAGTACAAGTATTGAAGGCCATAAAAATACATTAGAGTATCCAGTATAGGGATAAATATTTCATTATTAGTGATACTAACAGGTTTTTAAAAATATAACTTAAAAATTTTATGAAAAAGTTAATTTAAACTAAAAGACTCAAAGTAACAGTTTATATAAGTCTTTTGATCTAATTTCTTGTCTAAAGCCAACTTGCTATAGTATTTTTTTAAATTTAATATTATTTTGAAAAATGTTTATTTTTTATCTGTTTAAATATTCATCATTACACACGTTACATTTTTTAAATAGACATATTATGTTTTTTTATCTAGTCACAACAGGTTGAAAGAACCATGCAACTTCAAAATGTGTGATCATTATTTTTGCAAGTATGACTTGTTTTTAGCTTTACTGAATTATACTTAAATATTTCAGTATTGTGTAAAGTATGGCTTTTTATTAAAAAAATTTCATGTTTTGTTTTACAGTTTTACTAAAATATTCATTTTCTATCATTGTTTTTAATTTTTTTTCTAATTTTTAATTCTATTGTTTTTGCGTTTTTGATTCACTATAATTTATTGTAAAAATTAACTATAAATTAAAAAACAAAATTATTAATACACTAATGTTTTCTTATAATTTAGAGAAATAGTTAAACACTTGTGTGAGTGTATATATATATATATATATATATATATATATATATATATATATATATATATATATATATGTATATATCATTTTTATGTGTAAAAACGTGTCGTCATTAATAAGCGTCATTAACCTTAACAAAATCATTCATTCAAATGTTTAAAAAAAAGTTTTTTTTTAATTTTTATTGAGTCACTTATTCTCAAGTTCAGATTTTTCTTTCTTTTTTTTTTTTAATTTTTTTTTAATTGCGCTTTTCTCGAAATACGTAATTAAGGCGTTTTGAAAAACGGCTGCAGTATATCAAAAACAAAGAAAAGAAGCGATTAAAATGAAAACTTAAGAAGATTGCTCATAATGAAACAAGTTGATTAATTAAAATTAAACATATATTAAGTAGAAAAATAATCCTGCTGTAAATCTAACTCCCAGCAAAAATAGAAAATTTATTTTGATTAAAATTTAGAAATTTTGATTAATTGCAGAATGTAAGGACTTTTTTTTTTTTTTTTAGCTACACCTAAATTCCTTATTTCGCAAAAGCGCTGTATGAAATTTTTTCCTGGGTAACACCCTGTATATGTATGTGTATATATATATATGTATATATATATATATATATATATATATATATATATATATATATATATATATATATATATATATATATATATTCAGTGATTTTCTTTGTGATGGCCCTTTGGTAGAAATCTTTTGTCTTTGAATGTGCTTCTTACATAACGTGAATTCAGGCTGGCATGGAATCTAATATTCCCTCTCTACAATTGTTTACTATTGCTGGAAACCATTAGTTTACCATTGCTAGTAAACATCTGTTTACAAGCAATAGTAAACAGACATCTGTTTACTATTGCTAGAAACCATTGTAAAAAGTTTGTCTAAAGCCGAAGACCGCATTCTCAGATTATGAAATGTCTTATTTTATCACACAAATTAGACTCTTGTGACTTCTGGATAATCTTTAACAATATCTAAAACAAAGGCAAATCTGTTATTCCTTGTTATTATTTGTTTGCTAAGAACTTTTCATAATTACAGACTGTCAAGTTGTCATTTTTTCCCTCTTTTTTTTCATTTTTTCAAAAAAATTTTAAAACTTGCAATTTTTGTTCATAAAGTTAAGGAGCAGGAGCCCAGCCGGAGCCGGGTATTTCTTAGGAGCTGGAGCCGAGCCATCAAAAAAACAGTCGGCTCCACAAGCCTATATATATATATATATATATATATATATATATATATATATATATATATATATATATATATATATATATATATATATATATATATATATATATATTTATATGCTTATAAAGCAAGATAACGATTGACAGACAACTTAAAAGATTGCAAATTATATGAATCAGGAAACCCAGATGAAAGAAGTGAATTCCAAAGAAATGATGTTCGAGGGTAAAAACTAGACGAATAAAAATTTTTAGAGCACTTAGGAACAGTCACAGAAAAAGGTTGAGACACTAGCCCTTTAGAGTAGTGCGCATTATATTATTTGTAGAAAAGAGAAAGAAAAGCAACATTATGATAATGTGATAATGGTTGGAGGTTGGCTGGAAAAGCAGGCCCAACTATGTTTACAATGCATTTTTGCACCTTGTCTAAAAGAGAAAGGGCATCATTGGAAGATTCGCCCCAGATATGGCAATAGTATTCCATACAAGAACGAATTTGAGACTTATAGAGATAAAGAAATGAGTCTGGAGTACGAAAGTGTCGAGCACAATAAAGAATTGTAACCTTAGCAGATGCTAATTTTGCAATGGATTCGATATATGGTTTCCAAGAAAGATCCAAAGTAAGAGTTAATCCTAGCAGATGAATCACAGATGACTCATCGAGTACATTACTGTTCATAAATATAAAAAGATCTAAATTATTGCAATAACAATTGCCTGAAAAAGTTTTATCTGAATTAAATATCACAAGCCAGTGAGCCCCATGCTGTAGCAGAAATGAGATCCTTTTCAAGCTCAAATACCCCCTCCAAGCAATCAGAGAGTGAAATAATTAATTCCTATATGTCTATTAAAAGAAATTTAAAAAAAAAACCTAAACTTATTAAATTACTCTTTTATTTTTCTTAAGAGTTCCCTCAATTCTAACATAACATGTGTTGTTTGTCAGAGTCTTTTAATATTCCTTTTGTTTTGGAACATGCTCCAAAAAATATTTCTTAGTATCTTCCTATCTTAATAAAACTTTTTTAATTAGCAGAAAAAGTAAGCCATCTGGTATTTATAAAACGAAAAAATAATGTTTTATCTTCAATGAAAATGTAATAAGCTAATATTTTGAAACTCTCTATTTTGCAGGGTGTATTCTACAACAATAAAAAAACACTTTTCAAACTTGAGTATGAAGACTAATAACTTTTATTATCAACTTTTTATCAGCTAATAATGAGTGAAAAATACTTTCACTTTTAATAACACTAACAATAAAAATTACTAACAAAACCCATACCTTAAACCAAGCATTAAATCAAATGCAAGCTGCTTAGCATCCTCACCTAAAACTATTATTGCTTTTCGAAATGTATTATGCACTATGTGCAAAGAAATGTATTATGCACTGTGTACAAATGGGAATAGTCCATTAAAACCATTGTTATGAAGATCAGCATTTAAAAACTTCTAAATGGCCTTGTTAAATTTAGGACCATCAACCATACATATGATGCTTTTTGTCTACTCATACTAAAACCTTAACTTACTATACTATCTGGAAACATTCTTTTAAATATTCAGAGTTTTTTTTCTCAGCTCAAAGTTTAATTTTAAATTGATTTTTGTCAAGCTTTTCCAGCCAAACCTCATTCCATTTAATCATTATGGCTGTGACATATCTATTGAATAATATAGAACTATGTATTGATTAATATAGTAAAAATTAAAAATACAATTAAAAAAAAATGACAAAAACTCACAAGAAAATGAAAAAAATTGAAATTAACGATGTAGAAGGACTTTGTAAATAGTTGTGCAGAATTTTTTTTTGTTTTTTTAAATGTTTCAATGACATTTTAATTAAGAGCAACATTTTAATTCGTTTGTTTATGTTTTTAATTAATACCATAATTACTTGTTTTACAAGTGGTGTCTTAAGTATTGTTAGGACATATGCCATCAAATGCATTAGATGGCATATGTCCTAACAATACTTAAGACACCTCAATTCAACAAATACTTTGCACAGCTTGCTAAACCTTTAAAAGTTATTTGCAAGACACTCACAGTATCCATTGTTAACTTTTAACTTTGTTAACTTTTAACTTGCAAACAAGAGCTTTTATATTTTATATATATTGCAGGTTTTATTGCTTTCAAGCTTCCAAAATTACATTCAATTTTAGAGGAAATAGTCGCTTTGATATGTTTCAAAAATATGGAGCTTTGATTAGTTCTTTGAACAGGAGAAGACTAAGAGAACCTTCTGACAATTTAGTTTACTTTGTTATTTATTGTTTTTTTATATTTGAAATGACACTTGTGAATAATGTTTCACTATTGCTGTGCAAGAGAAGATTAACTGACATTTTTATTAACTGTAATAGTAAATTTCAATTGCTTTTTTGAAGTGTTAAAAAAGTTTGCTGCAAAACATTTTTTTAAACAATTATTGTAAAAAACACTGAGGATTTTGGGAATGTTTTATAATTCAAGTATTTTGAAGTATTTTGGGATTTTGAGAATGTTTAATAATTCAAGCAAAACTTTCAACTTCAAAATAAAATACTATTAGTCAAAAAAGTCAAAAAAAAAAAATTTTAAGTTAATATATTTGTTTGTTTTTATCAAAAAACTTATTATTTGTATTACATTTGTTAAACAGCTAAAATAAACATATTGTTATAAAAGTGAGACTTGGTCATTTTTAGTTAAAATCAGTAAACCCTTTAAATCTTTATTGTAACTAAGTAATTTCTAAACGTAAAAATAATTCTAACATTATTTGCTCCCAAAATTTAATCAAAATGTTTTGTCTTGAAAAAGTTCTATATTTGTTTCTGAAGTTTGTTTATAAAAGCAAAAATAAAAAATAACTTTACCTGTAAAAAAGTCTTCATTAGTTTTACAGAAAATGAACTGTTGCGGCCTGTTTAAGAAGGCCTAGGTTTTGCCAGTTATATATTTTTGAAAAATAGCAAATAAAATTAAGTTTTTAAAATTCTGAGGTCTTTGAAAAATTGCAAACCTCAGGTCGGCAGTTAGATTGGCATTGCCAAATGCTAATTAATGTAAACCCTTCTTCATTGATGCTTCAGAGAGGCTACACTACAGCCAAGGAAGTTTTTTTTGTTTTGATTTTATTATATTTTTTATCTGTGTTCTTATTATTATTTATTTTATCTATCTTCTTACTTATCATATAAAAAACGAAATCGTTTCTTTTTATTCATACCAAAATTCATAGTTCTTAACAGTGTTACATTAACACTGCGCTATGAGGTGTTCCATGAACAAAGCTGATTTGTAGATTTAAATAATGCAATTTAAAAAGTAGAGATACTGGCTCTTTTAACACATCTATTTTTGTGTTGAAACACTTATAAATCATACATACAACTTTTTATGCTAGTAATATCAGTTGCCAGTAAAGTATAGAGTGTTTTAATTTAAATACTATATTTATATTGTAACTAAGCTGCCCACAATGATTTTTTTCATTTTCTTAAATTTTTTTTTTCTTGCAAATTTGAGCATACAAATCGGTATCACTAGTATCAAATCAGTAAAAATACAACAATCAACAATCGTCATGGTCACACAACAATCAACAATCGTGCACATGGTCACACAAAAGACATGGTCACATGGTCACACAAAAAACATGGCCACATGGTCACACAAAAAATATGTTTTGTATACTTCCAATGAGTTGTTTTGGTTCTTATTTTTATAAATTCACAAGAAGTGTCTATAAATTATCTTGTCTTTTTTAGTATTGCCAGGCAACTTTGTGATGGCTTTCTTCCAAACATTTTCATGAAAATTTTCAGATTGATTCAAACACACTTTTAATTTATATATTTAATAATTCATTTTTAATTTATATACTTACATAATTTTTTAACAAGTATTTTTCAAGTAAAAGTAAATGTTGACATAAATAAATGTTTTTCAAGTAAAAATAAATGTTGACATAAGTGTTTTTCAAGTAAAAGTAAGTTAAAATACAACTAAATCTTTTTTGTCTGCCAGTATGCATGCATATTGATATTTTGTGTTTTATGTTACAAAATATCAACATCCATGCATAAAATATATACTGATATATAAGAAAGTATATATTGACAAAAAATGTTTTACAAGTACTGAGATTATCAAGATTAGTACTGAGATAATCAAGACCAGAGTTGAGATTATCAAGACCAGTACTGAGATAATCAAGATTAGTATATTAGTACTGAAATCTCTAGATTAGAAAGTGATTTAGTACTGGATACTACTAATAATCTTGATATCTTTTGCAAATACCTTTTGATAACATCTTGTCTTCAAACCTCTTGAATCACATAAAACCTGTTGATTATTATAGCATCATAGCGTCTGTTAGTAAAACCTCTTGAATCACATCTTGCTAACACTTCTTTAAACAATCTTGCTAGCACATCTTATCAGCATCTATTCCTTGCTCTATCTCATTTTCATGTTTAAAAGTTATTAAAAAAAAATTAAATTAATTAGATTTTCTTTTTAAATTATTTTTGCTAACAATTTTTTATACATAATTTTTTTTTAATAAATTTTTTAAATACTTTCTTAAAATTTTGTATTCATTTTTATTCAAGACTTATGTTTATGAATTTATATCTTGTTTTCACTTTTAGAAATTGTGCTATAATCCTTAACAATGAAAATGCAGAATGCCCAGAATGCAAAATTGCACTTTGGAAAGAAAACTTACAGTTAAATTTAAAAATTCCTGATGTTTTAGCTATATGTGACGAGATTAATAGTTTAATTACTAAAGGTTAGTACTTATTATTTAAGTGAAGAATTGTTTACCATCTATCCTTTTTTTTTTATCTTATCATTCATTTAACAGAAATTTAAAACTTGTTACAATAATTTTTAATAAATATTTTATAACATTTTTAAATAAATAGATATCAAAAATAAAATTTAAAGCAATTCTAAAAAAATAATTCAAACGTAAACTTGTGAGATTAATGATTAAATTCATAAAGTTAATTAAAAAATTATATGTGAAATTTATATCAAAATTATTATATCAAATTTATATCAACATTGTTATATCAAATTTATATCAACATATATTAAAATATTTATGACTAAAATGAAAAGTTTTTTTAATTTCAAGAATCTGATATTCTTTAACTATTTTCTTAGGTAAAAATGCTTATGTGCAAGCTGAAAATGAAAATGAATTTCTTCTTGAAGATAAAAAGGTTAGTAGTCAATAGTTTCTGGACAGATAAAATATTTGGTTTTTTTAATTATTTTTGTTATTTTTAATTATTTAATTGCCTAAAAACAATGGGATCGCTACAATTAAAGAGGTTATTCATTTTTTATATTTTTTAATTGTTTCAACAGTTTATCTCTGAAGCATGAACTTTGACAAACAAATTTTTAAAAACTAGACATCTTTTCAAAACAAGACATCTTTAAATCGCTTATAATATTGATGGCTGTGAGAAATCTTTTTTGAAATACATTTTGTTGTCCCTAATAATGCATAAGTTTTCTTGTTAAAATGTTTGACCAGCTTTCTTGCATGAAAAATTGCTTTTAATTCTGCATCAATCAGTCACTTCGGAATTTTTTTCTTTGGTGTAAGCCTTTAAACCTTAAAAATTTAAGCCTTTAAAATTTATAAAAAGCAATTTGATTTCAATAATTACAAGATTTTTAGTAGATAAATTTGAGACATCTAATTGCACTATTTGGAACATTAAGTCACATTATGTGTAATAGCAAAATTATGGACTCTACTTTACTGGAAAAATACTAATAGCAAAATTATTATCTACTTTACTGGAAAAACAAACAGTTTAAGAAACCGCACAAATGGACATATTTCCAGTTGCAAAACTGGCAATTCAACAAATGGATTCTACAATAATGTATATGATTGCAAGAAAATACACAAAAAAATCTATGGAGTCGTTCTTTCAGCTTTTTGTTTTTTTCCAACTAAAAAATGAAAATAATTTGTTGACCTATGAAAATTATTTTCATAAACAAAAACATGACACCTTCAACTAATACTTCCTTTTATAATAACACAGCAATGGTAACTCATAGTTACAAAACTGCAATTAAATATTTTTATTATATAACTTTTTACATGTATCAAAATTGTGATAATAACATTTGCAATAGTACTACTGATGATAAATACTGAAAGGCCTCTAGTACTATTTAATTTTTTCTTAGTAATATTTTAATATAAGAAATTTTTACTTAAAAATATTAATTCATTTTTTTAATGTTCTTTTGCTTGGGTTCTCTTTCCTTCATATTGTTTAATATTAAATTGCTTGCTCTCTTTCTCTCTCTCTCATATATATATATATATATATATATATATATATATATATATATATATATATATATATATATATATATATATATATATATATATATATATATATATATATATATATTTATATATATATATATATACACTATCGTCCATAATTATTTGAATGGTTATACTTTTCAATATAAGATATCAAAGTTTTACAATTGGGAGAAAAACTGAAAACAAATTCTACTTGAATTATATGTTATCTTCCTATCTATAAAATTTAAAAAAAAATTAATATTAAGTCCCATTAGATTATAATTTACTTGTCTTTTAATCACCTTTAGCTACAACCGCCATACATATTCTTTACATTCTACTTAATAACTTATCCAATTTGTCGAGGTCGATTTTATGCCAATAACTACTAAGTTTTTCACATATTATGCATTATTAGGCATTAGTTTTTGGCATTACTTTTAATTTCTCCCATAAAAATCCGATAGGGAGGCTAAATTATTCTATTCAATATTATTCAATATCTATTCAATAATATCATTCTTGAACTCAGTCAAGTAGTATATACGATGTTCTGATAAATATGTTTTGGATTTAAGCTTCAAGTCGTTTTCTTCTAAAAAAATGAATGGCTTCCCGTTAAACCAACTTTCCAAAGGTATAGCATGACTTTTTAAGTGTCCAAGTAATCTATTTTTGTCATTACTTCCTCTATTTTTACAATGTCACTTTTGGCATTCCGATCAAAACAGTCCCACACCTTTGTACTACATCTACCATATTTTACAGTTTTACATGTTTTACAGTACTTTCAGCATTTTTATTATTTTTATGATTTTTATCAAAGCAATTTAATACAGCACAATCTCTCTAATTTGAATTTTTGTAATTCAAAAACTTCCATAAGTTATCGTGAAATGCGCTTTAGAAACTTTTACATTTAACTTTCTATAATTTGAATCTCTATAATTCGAAAACCTCAACAATTTGAATGGATTTTTAAGACCTGTCAATAAGTTTATCTTTGTAAATTCAACTTTTTTAATTTTATGATGTATAAAAAGCTCATTAAACTGTCAAACTCTTTCAAATATCAAATGTTTTGAGTTTTTGAAAAACAATTAGTTTGAATTATTATCTTTTATTTAAAAAAAATTATGGCATTAAAGAGACTGTATAAAGAAAACAATTTAAAGCAGAATTACAAAGCTCTCCTGGAATTAGAGAAAGGAAAAACAAACATAGAGGTCTTGAAAATTTTTGATATTCCACCAAACACTCTTTCAACTTGGAAAAAGAACAGATAAGATAATATCTTTGATATTTTTTGTCAAGGAAATTTAGCTAAATGGGTGAGAGTTGATATCTATTACCAAGTAAACAAAGATGGACTTTAATGGTTCAAACAAATAAGGGCTGATAATGCCCCAATTATAATAATGATAAGAATCGCTCTTATATATATATATATATATATATATATATATATATATATATATATATATATATATATATATATATATATATATATATATATACATATGAATCCTTAAATGAAAAACTCAATCACACATGATAAACACATATAGATAATATACAAATCTATATCAACATTTCAGCCACATATTATCTATAAAAGGAAAATATTATTTAAATAAGGATGAGTTTAAACAAAGATAGTTTATCTATGAAAGAACAAAAAGCATGCAAACGATGTAAACAGGCTGTATGTGCATAAGGGTGTATAGGTGTAATGTGTAAGTCTGTGCTGTTTATGTGGTTCAGTAGAGTCTTGTATTGTTAGTAACCAGCGTAAAAGATTTGTCTCTGAACTAAACCAAGTCAGCCCAGCCATACTCCAAAAAACCATGATGGATTAAACACCTATGCATGGATTTATAACTGACTTATGACTAAAAAGCTAGCCCAGGCATCTTCCACAGACAAACATCCTCTTTCGCGGTGACAGTAATTGCAATTGCTTTGCTGGTAAAAGAAAAAGCTTTTTATTTTGCAAAAGAGTTGAGCTTAAAAACTTTTCAAGCTTCGGATAAATGGCTAGACAAATTTAAGAAAAAGTAAATTAATTTCTTATTTTGTTTTATCCAATTTTTATGATTAATGACTTTACAATATATGATTATTTTACAGCTTTTTTCTTTAATTGTATTAAGAAAATAAAATAAATATTTTACAGAATTGGACTTTCAAAAACTTGCAAAGACGTCAGAGTTACATACAAACATATGTATAAATTATGTCTAAGCAATTATAATTTTTTTTTGTAGGAATGTTATATCTTTTAAAACCATTTCTGGAGATACAAAGTCAGTTAATGAGCAAATAATCTCTCCATGGGTTGCAACCACACTGCCTACAATTCTCTCTCGATACCACTTAAAAATAATTTTAGTGTGTAAAATAATGAATTCAGCCTTTTCTACCAATGTTTGTCTGACAAAAGTTTACATTTAAAAATTAAAAGTGTGCTTGAGGCAAGAATGTTAAAGTTAGTCTGACTGGGATGGCCACAGGTAATTTTAGAGGAGAAAGACTTTCAATGTTTGTAAATGGAAAATTGAAGTCTCCTAGACATTTCAAAGGTGTGAAAAATATTCCTTGTCACTATCTGACCCAACCAAAAAGTTGGAAGTTGGAGAATTATTTGAGGAGTGGATTAAAGAAATTGACCTAAAGTTTAGTTTTTCAGAAAAAAAAAATTGCTCTAATTATAGATAATTATTCTGCTCATCCTTATGTGCAGAAACTTGATTGGGTGGAGCTTATCTTTCTTCCACCAAATACAATCTCGATCACCTAACCAAGAAACTTAAGTTTTCTATCTTAACTGCTATGTTTATGCTAACAAAAGCATATGGTCCATTCTAGACCAGACGTTTATAAATTCTTTCAAGAAATCAGGAATATTATTAGAAGCAGTGGAAAAGCGTATAAAAGTTAACAACGATTCTTTGTGTGGCTTAGACGTAAAGGAGATTCTTATGGAAAACATAAAAGATGATTTTGAATTTTTAAAAGCAAAATTTGGTGCAGATTTAAACTTCATAGCTGATGAGTTAGTACACAGATTTTATGGTTAGATTGTCAACAAATCATCAGATGAGGACATCATTGCAGAAGTTTTTGGACATGATGCTATTGAAACTGAGGAGGAATCCGATGATGAATGTGTTGATGTTTCTGGCAATGCTACAAAACCAAGCTTGAACAGAACAAAGCATGCTATCACTGTACTTAAAAATTATAGTCTTTATTTAAACTTTAGAGATAATTTGACAAAGTCTCTTAAAGATAAAAATAGTGTCATTGACATGGATTTGCAAGTTCATAAAAGACAATCTACGATTACTGATTTTTTTTTTCTAAACCATAAAAGATAATATATATTGAATTTAGGCCTAAGAATCACTATTTGTTTGTTTGTTTATTCTCTATTCGTTACTTTGACGAGAATATTCGAAAAAAAAAGTCAATTTTTTATAATTCGAAAATCTCTTTAATTGAAACTATTTTCTCTCATAAAATTCAAATTAGAATCATATATTTGGGTCATTCCATGCCAAATTAGGAAATTTTTATGAGGTTGCTCATGGACCATCTAAAATTTTGGTGAAACTTTTTGAATTTGTACATATGAAAAGCATGTTTTGAAAAAAAGATAAATATCTAATATGGTTCTTTTATAAATATATAATTTATAAAAATATAGAATAAAATATATATATAAAAATAATATATATATAAAAATAATATAAATAAAATAATAAAATTAAATATATAAAAATATATAAAAAAAATAGTATAAATAAAATATATAAAAATATATAAAAAAAAATTAAATAATAAAAATAAATGATAAAAATAATAATTATTATTATTAATTAATGCTGTCGAGATAAAGCACCAGGCAATATCTATGACAGCCGGTATAAATTAATTAATGAACAAATTAGTTCAGTCACTAAATAATAAAAATGTTAATAATAAGCTTTCTTGGTTTTTATCTTGTTTGTTATTGCTTCTAAGTCGACCGATTGCAAGTTTAATTTGAAGCTTTTAACTGTAGTAGATTGAACAACTTCGGCTGGCAGACTATTCCATCCATCGACAACTCTATTGCTGAAAAAATATTGCCTTTTCAAACAATTTCTGACCAATTCAAGTTTCATTCGTTATATATATAAATGACCAATTCAGGTTTTCGACCAATTCAGGTTTTCATTCATATATATAAAAATAAAAATATATAAAACATTTTTTAAGTAGAGGGTTATTTTGCATGAAATTTCTCTCTACAAGCAAAAAGGTTTTTCCATCGTTTTGAACAAGTTGGTTTTATAGTTCAACTATTACTATACTGTTCAAGTACGCAATGAATACTTTTTAAAGAACAAAAAATTTAAAATCTGGCATCTTTGCTTTTTTTATAATGGTAGGCTAAATGTGATATTTTTGTTTTGGAATTGATTTTTTTTTGTAATTTTAAAGAGCTTCATCTTGAAAACTAGTTCAAAAATTATTACAAATCAAATTGTCTGTTGCTCTACACATGTTCAAAAATTATTACAAATCAAATTGTCTGTTGCTCTACACATGCTCAAAAATTATTACAAATCAAATTTTCTGTTGCTCTACACCTGTTAGATAAATATTAAAAAAAAAAAAGTTGATTAAAGAGCTGACTTCAAATATTGTAGTTCATCAAAATGAGCTGGATCAAGATTTTTTTTTAATTGATCCACAATGAAAAGCATCTGTTACCTAAGATGGCACCTTTTTTTCATAAAATTTCATAAAATTTAATATAATTTGTTATTATATTAAAAAGGTATTTGTATTAAATTAAAGATATCAGTTTAAATATTAAAACTTACTTTTCCTTTTTTCAGTGTGCTTGTTGAAAGAATTACAATAATACCTTCGATGTGATAGTTATGAATAAAATCTATGGGATTTACTTTGCTTCTCAAAGAAAAAATCTCTTGGTTTAGTTTAAACAGTTCTTTAAAACAGTTACTTTTTTTAGACTTATTAAACCTGATAAGATAGCACTGATCATTTAAAGATTTACAAATACAGCAAGGAGAGAGCTCAAACATACTACTCATTATTAATTAGTTCTAAAAAGCATCAATTTATTTGGTTTTATTAGTCAGTATTTTAAAATTCAATGAAACACTAATTATGAAAAAAAATTTTTTTTTTGACTTTTAGAAACTATCTTTTGGGATTATAAATAAGTAATTAATTAACATTATTTGATTAATGTGTATAAGAAATTTAACTAAAAAAAAGGTCCATCTTAGGTAACAGGTGCTTTGCATTGCGGATTGATTCAGCTCATTTTGATGACCTATAACTTTTGAATGCAGCTCTTCAATTAATTAATTTTTTTTTTATATATTTATCCACCACATGTAGACCGTGTAGATTTGTGACATGTGTGATTTGATTTTTATTATTTTTTGAACTAGTTTTTAAGATTAAGCTCATTAAAATCACCAAAAATTCAAAAGTTAGATTTAAAGTTTTTTGTTCTTTTGAAAGTATCCATCGTATACTTGCTTAAAAAAGTTAAAGTATAAAACCAACTTGTTCAAAAGTTATTAGCTGTTAAAAACAATGAAAAAACCTTTTTTGCTTACAGAGTGAAATATATATATATATATATATATATATATATATATATATATATATATATATATATATACATATATACATTATATTTCTAGTGATTGCGATCTTGTAGAAAACTTTGAGTTTTATTTTAAATAAACTAAGTTTTTATTTTTTGTATTGAGCAGTTTCTGTCGAAAAGTATTTATATATAGTATATATTTTTTTCTATATATTTGTCAATATTTGTCATTAATTTAAAACAATGTTGTAGATAATTATGCTTTTGAAAAACTGTTCTTGATGATTACTGTATATTTTGCTTTTTTGCTGTAGATTTTAAGCAATTGTGTTAAAACAAGTAAACAAGAAAACGACGGCCATAACCTTGAAGTTACTTCTGCTCACAATGTTTTCAAGAATGATGAGACAAAGACAAAAAAAAGATCATCAAGAAATAGCAAAACAAAAACTTCTATAAGGAATGCAACTTCTGTAACTAAAAATATAGAAGATGACAGAAGAAAAGAAAATGAATCATTATTAGAAATTAATATTCCATTGGCTTTTTCTAATAATAAAAATCAAAATTCAACTATTGAAAAAAATTGTTTTGATAATGAAGACAATGTTCAGAAAATTGAAGATCATAATAAAGAAATTAGTTATCAAAACGAAAAATCTCATATTAAAAGTGATCGTACTGATATACTCTGGCACATTTCAAAAAAGCCCAAAATAACTTACAGCAAAAGAGTTAATTTGTTGAAGAATAGTTCTTCATCAACTACAAAACCTTTTTACACTGATAATAATGAAGAGTATTCAATATTTGATTTTAAAGATGATATTTCTTCAACTCCTGTAAATTTGAATTCAAAACATTTACCAGATACAAAAAAAAAAGGTGATATTTTTTTTTCAATAAGATTCATTAAAAAAATTTTTTTTTTAATTTTTTCAAAAATAAATACTTTGCTTTATAGACACAACAAAGCCACAAAAACCTCAAGAAATGAATTCAAACAAGTTACCGAACCAATCTGCTTTGAACCGAAACAGCAAAAATAATCAAAAACAAAAACCATTAGCTACAGCAAACAAAAGTTTAACAAAAAGAAATAACAAAGGAGAGACATCACTTCATACAGCTTGCATAAAGGTTTAAAAAATCCTTTAACATTTTTTAATTTTATAACTATTATTACTTGATTGATGATAATATTATTATTATTATTATTAATATTAATTTTAATGAATAATTGAAAGATTTTCAAATTAAAAAACTTTCAAATTTATTTATTTTTTTTAATAATTTTTAATTTCAAATAAAAAAAACTTTAATTTGTGAAGAAAGTTTAATTGTTGCAAGTTAAATTATCATTTAATTTTAATTATGACTTATGCTTTCTATGAGTTAGGGTAATCTACAAAAAGCAAGAGATCTTTTACAACTTGGTGCTGATCCTAACACTAAAGATAATGCAGGATGGACTCCACTTGTAAGCTGTTTTTTAGAAAATTTGTTTTAATAAATGTTGTATAGAAGTTTTAAAAATGATAAATTTTAATAAAACTTCAAAAGTAAATTTGTTAATACCAAAACAAATTAAAATCTAAATTGTATTTAAGTTTTAACCTACATGCTTTGTGTGCCATTTTATTATATATTTATATTTTGTTTATTTACATTTTTCAAATCACCTGCTATAACAAATTATTTTTAATATTTAAGTTTTTGGTTTAATTTTTTTTACCTGATGAGATATGTAATGATATGTAAAAAAAGTAAACTTTTTAGCATGAAACTTGCAGTCTTTTTTCAACTTTTTAGCATGAAGCTTGCAATCATGGGACTGTTGATATTGTTAAACTGTTGCTTTCTTATGGTGCCATTCTTGATATGGTTGCTGGTGATGATCATGATACACCATTACATGATGCAGTTGCAAATAATCAAGTTGATGTGGTTAAGTTATTGTTAAAACATGCGGCCCCAACACATAAAAGGTTAGTATTAATTTCAGGAGTGTTCTTGCTTATAATCCTCAACAAAGTTTTGAAAGAAAGTTTTTGCCCCAATTTTTTCTTCAGAAAGTAAACATAAGTACTAAATAAATAAAATAAATAAAATAAAAGTGCTCATCTAAATCGAAGACTAAAGATTTTTTTTTTTTTTTTTTTTTTTTGGATAAATGTTTGATAAATTTAATGACACAGTTTATTTATATAATCTTTATTCAATATTAATTTTTAAACATTTTAATTTGTAATAATTTTAGTTTGTAGTTATGTTATCTGATTTTAGTTGAAGCAATTTATTTTGCACTAACATAGTAATTTTATAAAATTTCAAAATAGTTGCAACGTTTTTTTAATTAGGTTTATTAATTATATTTTAAGAGCAGCTTTCTGTAAGAATCAGACAGAGCTCATTAGTGACTTTCTTTAAAATCACTAATTTTTTAATATGTTGTTGCTATTCATACTAGAAGCTTAATTCCAAATTTTTTTTAAAATATTAATTGGTTCTTTAGATATTAGATGTCAAAGTTTGACTAAACTTTTAGAAATATTGACCAAATGGTGTCGAAAGCATTTTTGAACTCAAAAATCTCACTTGATTATTGTTTATTGGCTAGTTCAGACCAAAAATTAATAAAATTGGTAATGGACATTTTTTCTGTTTAAATATCATGCTTCAAAATAACTTTTTGTCATTTTTGATCTTCATTTTCATTCACAGGCGGGATTATCCCACAGTTTTTTTTTATTATTATAAATCTTTATCTAGTTAAGTATCTAAGAGTATAAAAACACTTATGGGGAAGCGAAGGCTTTGCTGCAAAATCAAACTCAAAAATGAAATTTTAATATTTTTACGCATTGATTGTGGCATGATTATAGTTAAAGCCCTGGGTTCACTGTAAAATTCAATTTAAAAAAACTTGTATTGACCTTTAATCTTCCTTATTTTAAAAAATACTTATGGGGTATTGCAATAGTTCAGAAAAAATAACATATGGACAATTCCATTTTTAACTTACGTTACACACGCAACAACTTTATCAAATATTTGCCTATTTAAATAGTAAATTAAACTTGTAGCTATTTTGTATGAAAGCTGTTAGTCTAAAGAATAAAATAAGCTAAAATATTTTGAGTCTGGCTGAATAAGAGTGAACTTATTACTAAAAATGTCACTTAACTTGTGTTACACAGAAAGCTAGGTAAAAAAATTGCTTCAACTTTTAGGTCAGATTTCTGCAAATCAGTAAAGCGGTTTATATTAGAAACTTTCACAAGATGTTAAGAATTCTATGCCAATTAAAAAAATATAAAAATTTTTATCATAGGTGACCACCGGGTAAGAAAAATAAACTTTTACTTCTATTATTTCGAGTTAGAGTTACGTAACTAAACAATTGCAAAGATATTGAACTCATTCATTAAAAATAATTAACAAAGAAAATTTTAAAAATCTGGTAGCACTCTTCCTGAGTGATTTTTCATAACATTTATAAAAGTTATCAAATCGAAAACAATTTTTACGCAAGACCAAGAGCAACTTTGAAAAATTATCTTAGTTTTACAACTTTTTAATACTAATTTGAGTTGTTTAAAAATTAAGATATAAAAATCTTTGGTTTGTCGAAGTTTTTATTTACACTCCTTACGTTTATGCGTACTGCCTTGTTTTCATTAGATGGAATTTTTAAAATGCTGCAAAATATTTACATTTAAATCTTTTGAAATATTTTTGAAGAAAAACTGCTATCATAGTTTAGAAAGGAGAGGGATTCAGGTGAATTTTTCTAAATTCTCAACGAAATAGTAATTACTAAATGATGTAATTCATTTTGTTAACGAAAAAGCGTTTTAACTTACGTTACACAAATTTAAAATGAAATTGTGGTCTAACTAAGCATTGTTATTCAAAACTTTAAATGCAAAAATGTTATATTTAATATTCTTTCTCATATAATATTAAAAAATTTAAGTTTTTTAACTAATTTTTATAACAAACAAAACTTTATCATGTTTTTGTTAACTTACGTTACATAAAAATTGCAAAAGTTCATTTGTTATTTTCTTGGAAATTTGGAGAGTTTTTTTCTTGGAAATTTTATTAAGTATAAAATCTGATCAACAGAAATTTGAACATATTAGCTCCATTTTCACGCTAATTTAATTCCGAATAAGCAAATAAATTCATGGTTAGAATAACATTTTATAATGATACCTTTTTTATCATGCGACAATGAGAAAAACCGTAACTTTCGGAAGCATAAAAATGACTTAAATTAATTAATTTTAGTGCTAAAGGTATATTTTAAATAAACTTTCATGCGTCTACATCAATATCCATTCGCTAAAAGTTGACAAAATATAGAATAAAATTTAACTACTTTTTCATTTTGCGCTGTGGAATTGCACATGTAAATAGTATAGATATTTTCTTGTTGCTTACATACTTATTTATAAACACTTGAACTCAGTGTGTTTCCTTGTTACTCTATCATATTTTTTGAGTATAATTTATCTAGGTGAAACTGATTTAAAACTGATTCAGCAATAGAGACAACAGAGGAAACACCATGATGGCATCAATATAAAATTGTCAAGTAAACATGCTTTTAGAGAAAGTCATTTTTTTTTGGTAATAAAAAACATTTATATGCGTATTTATGTCCTTCTTCCCAAAGTAGTCCTTCTGACCCTCTTTAAACTTCACTGGTAATATCTTTTGCTAATAGTCTTTCATCCGAAATGCTGTTTAGTCATCTAGTTGTTTATATGTATCATTCTTTGCCTTTTTCTATTGTTCATCTCTTAAGAGGTGTTTCATATACTCTGTGATGCTACCTATTGATACTTTAATGTCATATGATACATCATCACCAACAACATTTTCATTTCTTATTTGGTTGACTTCATCTAAAATTTAAAACAGCTCATTGCATTCATACCATACAGAATCATTTAAAATGCTACATGATTGCATTTTAATGTTTTTAGGATTAGAAAAAGCAAATTGAGTTGAATGTGTTGCAATTTCATATTCCAAATAGTTGCAATAAAGTTTTTAAATACCTTTTTGATCTTTGAAGTTTTCTCAACAGTTGATTTTTTATTGAACATATTTGCGAATTGTTTAAGTGTTGCAAAGGCATTTATCCCAGCAGCAGCTGTATCATTTAAACCAGCCAGGCATTTTCTATAAGATGGTTTAATTCCATTTAGTATCTGCATTAAACATGAGTTGGACAGAGGCTTGTAAGCAATTTCTTTGCAACTTTCCCTATATAAAGCAATGGTCTGGCTGTTTTTTGCTCTTAAAGTGGTACTAGCTACAGTTTCAACATCACGAATGTCATACTTTATTATGGAAATACCATAAGAAATGTCTTGTAACAGTCCACTTAAAAAGATGAAATCTAAAAAATGTTCACATTTTGGAATCAGAAGTCTACTTCTTGTAAATAAAATCTTTTGGGGTACAAAACCTTTTTGTGAGGTTTTCCACTTTCTGGCAAGTCCTTTTTTTATGTTTAGTGCACTAAAATGTGTTGCATAAAATTTGCTTTGTGTATTTATTATGATCAATAAATGCCAAAATTACAAGTTGACTTGTTGCACCACTGTTTTTATACATTTCTACAAATTTTTTAATTTCATCTGGGATTTCTGTTTCGACATTTTCATTACCTTCAAACACTTTTAAAAACTCTTCCGATTGACCAGGCACAATAGATTCTGCAAATTTTTTCTGAAGGTTTCTTTTATAGGTTTATATTTCTTTTGCATTTGTTGCTTTGTGGATTCATTGATAAGCTCAAGTTTTCTTTTAAACTGGAATTTAGTTGGTCCCAAGACAAGCTGTAATATTTTCTCTGATTTCATTTGAGGTATTGAGTTTTTATTGATTTTGTAAAAACTCATCTGGTATAAAATCAATATCAGTAGCTGTTAATGTAGATTCGTGTTATTATTTTTGTTTCTTTTTTCCTTGTCTCGGAATAGTATTCTTTTCGTTGACGATTGCATATAATTGAACTAATTGGAATGTATGAATTATAATGGAAAGGTATTTGAAGTGTGATAAATATTGGTGCAGGACGCCCTAATAATGCTTTCTTCCCTGTTTGTACTTTGTGATTAGGGTGCATACATTTTTTTTGCTTGCTTCCATCCTACTCCTAATGTGTCGCTATGATATGCACATATATTCTCTGTATTGTTAAAATTTCTGTTTAAATGATTTTCAATTAGAGATTTTTTGTTCCAATTACCAGCTAGCTCATAGCTCTTTAACACCTTAAAATATATTATAAAATAGAGTAACAAGGAAACATACTAAATTCAAACGCTTATAAATAAATATTGACCTTTAATCTACCTTATTTATAAAACATTATTATTTTTTATAAATAAGGTAGATTAAAGGTCAATACAAGTTTTTTAAAATCAAATTTTACAGTGAACCCAGGGCTTTAACCATTATCATGTCGCGATCAATGCGTAAAAAGATAAAAATTTCATTTTTGAGTTCGATTTTTGGGGCTAAGCCTTTGCTTTCCCATAGGTGTTTTTATGCTTCTAGGTACTTAACTAGATAAAGATTTATAATAACAAAAAAAAACTGTGGGATAATCGTGGCTTTGAATGAAAATAAAGATCAAAAACAAAAAAAAATTTTTTTTGCATATTTTGAAGCATGATATTTAGACAAAAAAAAATTCCTTTACCTTTTTTATTAATTTTTGGTCTGAACTAGCCAATAAACAATAATCAAGTGAAATACTTGTTGTAAAGTATTTACTTTGCTTTTTTTTCGAGTTCAAAAATGCTTTCGACACCATTTGGTCAATATTTCAAAAAGTTTAGTCAAACTTTGACATCTAATATCTAGAGAACCAATTAATTTTTTTTTTTTTAATTATGGAATTGAGTTTCTAGTATGAATAGTAACAACATGTTAAAAAATTAGTGATTTTGAAAGAGGTCAC